TTTTAGCATCAGGGAAAGGAGATACAAAAAAGGAAGAAGCAAAAACCCTGACAGGTAGAAAGGGCTAGCAGCAGACCTGCAATCCATTCTGTCCTTTTACTGCCTAAGAAACAGAAAAACAGAGAGGTGGAATTAAGTCATCTTAGAAACTTGCTAACAAAAGATCTTCTGGCAAACATGCTAGAGGTGTTTACTGCCAGGAGAGTCCTTACTTACGGAATGCTTTAGCAGGAAGGACTTGGTCTGTCTAGACTGCTCACTGTACATGAACCTGAGATGTATGTATTTAAGAGGGATGAGTTCCTAGAACATTTCACACAAGCTATGCAGTTATTAGAGAATAAACTGGAGATGTTTCATAACTGAAATAGCTCCCTTTGGTGGAAGTCACACTCCATACACATCACTTAGAGGCCTCATATGTTGACATCTGGGTCAGAGTGCATCCTGATTGAGGCAAGACAGGACCTGGGAGCAGCTCTGGCAGTCATGGACACCTGAACACTTTGCCTATGTGTTGTGATCACTGTATCTTTGAAAAATATTAGTCAAGTTTGACAGTGGTTGTGACCTGATTCCTGGGAGTCCAATTTGTCAATCTGACCCTTTGTGTTATCTCACCTGTAATATTTATTTTGAACTGGAAGAATCAGTATGAATGACACATTTCCTAACCCTATCTACCAAAAAGGCCTATTAGTAACGACAACTCAGCTGCAATGCATATCTCTGGTGCCCAGATTGTAGTATCTAAACACAATTTCTCACTGAAAAGAATCTGGACTCCTTGGAGAAATGGCTAAGATTCACTTCTGGGTCAGGAAATGTGTAAGATGAATTTGGGACATCTTGTCTTGCCCGAAAAGAAAAAAGTATAAAAGTCATCTACAATTAATTAAAAGTACAAAGGAATGAACTTAAAGAGACTCTCAATGGCCCCAAATGGGACAATGTGAGCAATAAAAAGAATGATTGCAATAGAATGAAGCATCAGTATGTAAAACCCATGAATTTGTAATGATGCTCAAAAGCAAAGCAAAGCAAAACAGACAGACAAATAAACACTCACTGGTCTCCTTTGGAGTTTGCTAGGACACAAAATTATTATTAGAAAATATTTCAAAAACCAAGCATTTATCCTGCTTTCCCTGTATAGACTATATTTCAGAGTAATCAAGTAGTTCATGAGGGGAAGTTCTTTATAAAAGAATCCCAGGTAACAAATGCAGGAGAAATGATAAATTAGAAAATCATCACTAAGCAACTCCTAATGAAGTCATGGGTCTAAGACAACAAAACAGCTGCCAAAACCTCTAGGTGAAAAGTCAGTGAGGAACTTTTGAATGGCTGGACCAGGCTGACCACTTGCAACCTCACTGATCAATCAATGGAAGTGGGACAATTAGACACTATATGCCTTCCGCTGTAATGAAATAGGAAATACAAACCACTATCTATGAAACAGTCTCAATAAAAATACAGAATTAAATCTACCCAGGCCTCTTGAGGTAATTTCTAGTTTACAGACTAGACAGTAGAGTGGAACAAGTTAAATGACACTACAAAGATATGACCAGCTAGGTCCAGAATGTGGGAAACTGATAGCACAAAAGTCATTGTTTCTTTTCTTTTTAAACCCCACCTGAGGATATTTTTCCATTGATTTTCAGATGGGGGGGGGGTGGAGGGAAAGAGAAACATCGATGTGAGAGAGACACATCGACTGGTTGCCTCCTGCATGACCCCAACCAGGGTCGGGGACTGAACTACAAGCCAGGTACATGCCCTTAACTGAAATCAAACCCGTGATTCTTTGGTCCACGGGCTGATGCTCTAAATGCTGAGCCAAACCAGCCAGGGCAAATCATTGTTTCTTTAACAAATAAAATGACACTTAAAAATAAGGGAAGGCGAATTGTTACAGATTAAGAGAAACTTAAAATCTAAGCATGGATACTGACTCAAACAAAGCAATTCTAAAAAGACATTTGAAACAACTGGGAAAACTGAACATTCTGGAATCTGGATATTGGGAGATAAAGCAACAACAGCTAATTTTGTGAGTGTTATAATACTATTGTGGTTTTGTTGAAAAAATTATTTTTAGATATACATACATAGGTAAAACATATGGAATTTGCTTTAAAATACTCTAGGGAAGAAAAAAAGAGTAAATGTGTGGGGTGGTAAAGATGAAACGAGAACAGGCGTGCTGAAGCTGGGTGGTAGTGGGGATAAGAAGGGATCACTACACCCTCACTTCTGTGCATGTTTGGAAATCTTTCTGATAAAAAACAAAAAGGAATAGCCACTGGGACAACTACAAGAGTACCAACATTCGCATCAGAGGGGTGCCAGAAGGAAAAGAGAGAGAGCAAGAAACTGAAAACCTATGTAAAAAAATAATGACAGAAAATTTCACTAACCTGGTGAAGAAAATAGAAATACAATCCCAGGAAGCACAGAGAGTCCCAAACAAGATGAACCCAAAGAGGCCCACACCAAGACACATCATAATTAAAATGTAAAAAGTTAACACAAAGAAAGAAATTTAAAAGTAGCAAGAGATGCCCTGGCCAGTTTGGCTCAGCGGTTAGAGCATCAGCCTGCGGTCCTGAGAGACCCGGGTTCGGTTCCCGCTAAGGGCATGTACCTTGGTTGCAGTTTGTCCCCGGCCCTGGTCGGTCGTGTGGGTGGCAGCCACTCGATGTGTCCCTTTCACATCGATGTTTCTCTCTCTCTCTCTCTCTCTTCCTCCCACTCTACCTGAACAAAAAATGTCCTCGGGTGAGGATAAAAAAAAAAAAAAAAAAAAAAACAAATAAAAGTAGCAAGAGAAAAGAAGCTAGTTACCTACGAGGGAGCTCCTATAAGACTGTTAGTTGATTTCTCAACAGAAATGTTGCAGGCCAGAAGGGAGTGGCAAGAAATATTCAAAGTGATGAAAAGCAAGGACCTACTATTAAGATTATTCTACCCAGCAAAGCTATCATTTAGAACTGAAGGACAGTTAAAGAGCTTCCCAGACAAGAAAAAGCTAAAGGAAGTTATCACTACCAAACCAGTAGTATATGAAATGTTAAAGGGTCTTCTTTAAGAAGGAGGAGAAAAAAAAAATGAAAAAGTATGAACAATAAAATGGCAAAAAAATACATTCATATCTATTAACAATAGAACCTAACAAAAACAAACAAATAAAAAATTTAAACAAACAAGCATAGTAGAAACAGACTCATAGATACAGAGAATATTTTGATGGTTGCCAGATGAGATGGGGGTTGGGAAGATAGATGAAAAAGGTGAAGAGATTAAGAAATACAAATTGGTAGTTACAGAAAAGTCAAGGGGATGCAAAGTACAGCATAGGGAATACAGTCAACAGTACTGTAATAACTATGTATGGTGTTAGATTATCAGGGATAATCACTTAGTAAGTTACATAATATCTAATCACTGGGTTATAAATCTGAAACTAATATAATATTGTATGTCAACTGTAATTGAAAAATAGAAAATTATTTAAAGTTATTGATATATTGATATCAATAAATTATAAGGAATAAGTTACATTATAATACTTGGCCCAAATTTAAAAATGGCAATACAGTACACACTTGGCCTAGGTATAGGAACAAAAGGTAGTTTCAAAGGAAGTAAACAGAATTACTTTTCTGAAGAACAATTTAGCAATATGTATCAAATGCCTTTTAAAATTTTACATTTAGTCCAGCAAATTCACTTTTAAGAACCAATTCTCAGGAAATTTTCATAGATGTGCACAAAGATACATCTGAAATGATCTCCCAGCAAAAAAAAAGAAAACAACCTTCAAAGTTACAGTATATTTACATGTAAAAATTTTTATAGACATTAATCATCAAATTGTAAAAGAATACTAAATGATATGGGAAATGGTCAAGATAAAGTGTAAAGTGCAAAATTCAGGCCGTAAAATAGTATATATATTTTGACCCAATTTAGTCTTGAAACCATACATATAGAAAAAAGCCTGAAAACATGATTCTCCTTGATGTTAATAGCTGTTATTTCTAGTTGATGACATTAAGATACTTGTAATTTTTTAAATTCGTTTTTCTACTCATGAGTATAGAATATTTGTAATAAAAAATTTTATTTTTAAAAAGTACAATCTCAATCAAGTCCTAAAAGTGGCTACAATGGAATAATAAGTGGGTATAGCAATGATCTTTGAACTAAATGACAAGGGTGGTGGGACAGGGCAGAGTGGACACATTAACAATTACTTTTTTAAAGGATAGGTATTTAGCACACTCTATTGCAGTTGTTCTCAACCTGTGGGTCGTGACCCCTTTGGGGGTCAAATGACCCTTTCACAGGGGTCGCCTAAGACTAACAGTAGCAAAATTACAGTTATAAAGTAGCAACAAAAATAATTTTATGGTTGGAGGTCACCACAACATGGGGAACTGTATTAAAGGGTCGCGGCATTAGGAAGGTTAAGAATCACTGCTTGTGAGAAAGATCATATTTTAAATTTAAAAGTAAAGGGTGTCAAAGTGAAAGTTAGAGGATGATTCAAGTTTATGTAAACTTTAATTGGAGAGGGATGAACATCTAAATCAAATTACCTAGGATGACTGTAAAGGTTACTGCAGTAAAAATCCTAACACAATTCTCAAAATAACCAAAGTAGCATGTTAGACAATCCTTCCCAAGTTTCTACTGTGTGTACCACATGTCGGACAATTACACACTGGGGTCCAAAAAGAAATGATAAAATATTAATATAATACACATGCACTTTTGACTACTGAGTTTGGCTCATGTAAAGGGGTCAAACATGTTAAGTGAATCACTTTGGTATGTTAAATCTAGAAAATCCTGTAAAACTATATTCTATATATTATATGTGGTTAATAATCAGTAAAACCAGACTTCTGCATCTTCTTATACCAGCTTTAAAATTTCAGTTGTCTCCTTCCGAAATCTGGCAAAAGCAAAGAAAATATGCAGACTACCTGGTTTCCGTACTTTCGTGGGTTCTTCATAATCCTTGTTTTCTGAATTTGAAGATTCTAGAAAGCTGATTTCTTCTGTGCCACCTTCCCCTTCTTGGCTCCTGAGGCTGTCTTCCTCCTCCTGAATAGGTAATTCCAACTCTGATTCTTCTGAATCAAGAAAGATCTGACCAGCGACTACTCTGCCTGCCGTGCTGTGATCCTTTACCGACTCATCTGATGGCAAAGAACTCTGAGAATAGAAAGTATTTTTAGTTATCAAAAGTACCAAAATTTACCTTGGCCAGTTTGGCTCAGCGATTAGAGTGTCAGCCCACGAACCAGAGAATCCCGGATTCGGTTCCCGTTTAGGGCATGTATCTTGGTTGCAGTTTGTCCCTGGTCCCGGTTGAGGTTGTGTGAGTGGCGACCAATTTGATGTGTCTCTGTCACATCGATGTTTCTCTATCTCTCTCCCCACCCCCTCCCGCTCTATCTGAAGATAAATGCAAAAAACGTCCTCGGGTAAGGATAAAAAAAAAAAAAAAAAGTACCAAAATTTGCTTCAATCTAATTTGACCATTACTTTCATAATCCAGATATATATCCTTCAGGTCCCTGAATGTGCTCATCTCTACTGGCTTCCACTTGTGTTCATCACATTGTCTTCATCACCTGCCTAACACTGACTTTCTTCAAATTTCAACTCAGATGTTACTTCCTCCACGAAGCCTTTCTTTTCTTTTTTAAATTGATTTTTAGAGAGAGAGGAAGGGAGAGGGAGAGAGAGAGAGAAAGAGAAACATCAGTGTGAGAGTGAAACAAATATCCATCAGCTGCCTCCTGAATGAGGACTGAGAGCCCCCAACCTGGACATGTGCCCGGACAGGAATCAAACCGGCAACCTTTCGGTGCACAGGATGATACCCAACCAAAGCCACCAGTCAGGGCTGGGAAGCCTTTCTTAATTTCTAGAGATTGGGTTAGGGTCTTCCCATACATGCTCCCAACATATCTTCTACCTCTCTTATGATAGCCCTGCACTATAACTTCCTGTTTCTTATCTACAGTCCCTCTAATCTAGAGATCTAGGAATTATAACTGGTCTCCTTGGATACATAATAATCAGCTTTATCCATTCAATCAACCAATTTAAGTGAAAAACTCAATAGATATTTTTTAATTGATATAAACAGAAATAAATGGTAGAGGTCTTCAAAAAAAATCTAAAAACAAACAAAAAGGAATAAAATCAATCTCTCATTAGACAATAAGATCCTTTAGGCTCTTACACACACACACGTGCGCATGTGTGGAAGATTCAAGTTGAAATTAAACCTAATAACCAACACTTAAAAAAAAATAACCGACACTCTTAATGGGAATATTTGCTATTTTCTCTCCCATAGGTCAGTGATTTTTTTCCTACAGAAGAACTATAAATAATATTAGTACCAGCTATCTTTTCTTATTCTTCTTTTACATACAATTCTGTTGCTCAAAAGAGGTAGATTTAATATCCTTTGTTTTAAATCGGGTATCAGATATGAGTCAATGCAAATTTTAGTACACACCTTGGAATCTAAGGATTCATCCTGGCCGCCCTCTTCATCTGTAAAGAAATTTTAAGACAATATGGTCATCTTTCTTGTTGGGAAATCACAGGTATTATTAAAAGAAAGCATTTGTAAATACAACAAATAATCAGACACTGGATAAATAAATCTAGAATTATTTAAAACTGGATGTATTCAACAACTGCTCAGGAAAGAATAAGTGAAAGGAGAAAAAGGGATTGGGGTGGTAGTTTTTCCTCTTTTTCCAGAAAAGACATTAGCTTTATCTGTTACACAGGTAGAAAGACAACAACTACACCATCAAAACCAGATATTTCAGATACTGTCCAATTCTTCTGTATATATTTAATCTACTACTGAGAATGAGTTACTAAATTTATAAAAATACATCTCTGATTTTGTGGTTCAAGATTTTACCTATTCTTTTCCTCTGCTCAGAATCTGTAGTTGGACTAGCTTATATCAGTGCTGATTAACAATATATCATTCATTAAGTCTACTAAAGATGGACACTAAGAATTATTATTATTATTTGACAGCAGAGTTCTAAACTGAGATATTTATGATGTGTTCTATTTTACTGAAGAGATAACCAGATACAGGTAAAAGGTAGCATTCATACTATCATGTATTTATCCACAAAAGATATATATTAAGAAATCAACAGCTTGCCCTGGCCAGTTTGGCTCAGCGGTTAGAGCGCCAGCCTGTGGTCCAGAGAGACTCAGGTTTGGTTCCTGCTGGGGGGGCATACCTTGGTTGCATGCAGTTTGTCCCCGGCCCTGGTTGGTCGGGTGGGTGGCGGCCACTAGATGTGTCCCTTTCACGTCGATGTTTCTCTCTCTCTCTCTTCCTCTCTCTCCCTCCCACTCTACCTGAACAAAAAATGGAAAGTGTCCTCCGATGAGGATAAAAAAAAAAAAAAAAAGAAATCAGCTTATATTAGACAATGAGTCCAGCCACTAATTATACCTTTCTTCCAAATCCATATCTGCTACTTTGCTTTGTCCAATTGCATTAGTTTTCCTTTTATTATTTTTTCTGTGTTTTCCTGCTATTACTTCTATCCTGGCCACTTGTTATTCTCTTTCCTGTTCTTATATAAACACATTCCACAATCCAATGTCCATATGTAAATGTTTGGTCTTTGTGTTCCTGGCCAGTTAACAGTCAGTCAGATGATCTCTAAGTTTCCCTCTGACTCTTAAAATTAGCTAGGAATGAGCTTCAGTTTTGCCTGTTCCATAAGTTATATGAGAAATTAACCAGTAGACAAAATGTTATAAGAACATGTGACTTTTACTAGAAATTTTGGTGTTATGGTTGCCATTTATCTTTACTTCAGATGGTCATATCCTGAATATTATTCATAACTTATAACTCTCTAAAGCATAACAAAAACATGTTTTGGAATTTCAATTATCACAGTACTGAGCTAACTTTTAAAAAGTATTACCAACTCAACATTATGCACAAAACACACGACTCTATTCCACAATACTGTTTTTTTGTTTTGTTTTGAACATTTGAAAAAATCTACTAGTGAGGTTTTGTCATATACAAAAGTGCTGTCAATTCAAATAGACTTAAATTATAGTTTCTTTCATATTCACTGCTATTAGATTACCTTCCAAATATGTTTTAGTTCTGGTGGGTGGGGAGGAGGACAGTATAGCATGTATTAATCCCACAGTGCCCATACATTTAGGCAGTGCTGTCATTTAATTAATAATAATCACCCTTCACGCTAACTTCTTCACAAGTATCACCCAAAGCCCAAATTCTCACATATGGCTCAAATTCCATTCTCAACCAATCTTTGGATAAAGGGAAAAAAAAATCATCCACACATATATCAAAGTTGTATGTGTGGATGTATTTAATTAATCACAAACATTAACTAGCTAATATATCAAGAGCAGACATTAAGTATGCAAATATATATGGATATCAAAATACTGAAACTTCAGATTATTTGGAACTCTTAAATGACTAATTTAGTACCCTGTCACAACAGGTCACATATGTAGCTAATCAGTAAATAATATAGATGCCTATAACTAAATTTTAAGACATACATTTGAGACACTACACGCTATTAGGCACTAATGTGCTTTTGAACTCCAAGACACATGGGAACTTGTGACATCAGGGTTATTTCATGTGAATTGCATCATGCTTCTCTCTCTTTCTCTTCTCTTCACAAACTAGGAATAGATACTAAGGTTACTGGTAAATAAGAGAATTCTTTCTCATTTACTAAAGTTGGAGAAGCTACCCCATATGGTAGTCTTAAAGCATAAGCTATTTCCTCTTTCAAACTGATACATCCATTCACATACACATTTGAAGGTGCTTATAACCTGAAACTTGTATGTAGAGTCAGGTAAGAATTAAAGACACTGAAATGATGCATAAATAAAAAGAAAATTGCAATGCTTTTATCAGGACACAGACATCAAGCAACAAGAAAAATGCAAAAGGATTTAATGAGGAGTTATGGATTTCTCATTCAACAGTATCACATACAAAATATTACTTTAGTAATCATACACCTTCCTTTGAAAAAGATCAATTTTCATTTTTATTTTATCAGCTAACAAAACTGCAAAGTACCAGGGATATTCCTTCAGGGAAAAGTAATTATTACAAAGTCATTTTCCAAATCATCATGTAAATTACACTGATGCACTTTCAAACACAGAAAGCCTTAAACAGTGGTTCTCAACCTTCCTAATGCTGCGACCCTTTCATACAGTTCCTCGTGTTGTGGTGACCACCAACCATAAAATTATTTTTGTTGCTACTTCATAACTGTAATCTTGCTACTGTTATGTTTTAGGCAACCCCTGTGAAAGGGTCATTCTTGCTCCAAAAGGGTCGCGACCCACAGGTTGAGAACCGCTGCCTTAACAGTTTGGTGCAGACACTGAATCTGTGAGGATCCTAGGGTACCACTGATTCTTAATTACTCTAAATCTGAGGCCTGGAGAGCTAGGTTAAAAACCTGGCTTCATTATATATTAATTTTACACATGTGGTTCAATATGGCAAACTTGCTCAGCCTCCTTTTCCTCAAGGTATCAAAAAGGAATAGTACCAGAGGTAAAAACCCATATAAATAAGCAATTTCATGAATAAAAATTCAACTGAAAATCCGTGTACTCAATTTATAAAACTTTCTCTCACATTAGTGTTTTATGATATCTGCACTTCATGTCAGCACAGTACTGTCTTTATTACCTGTCAGTATGTACATCTATATTGTTTTGTTCTCTGCCTCTACTGGAAAAATGTTTTGTTTGATACAATTTAACTATGATGAAAATCACACCAGACATTTCCTGAACCTAGTCCTCTGCTCATATCAACACAACCCAAAGATTTAACATTTCAGTATTAACAGTTTTTTATTATAACATACTGAGAATCCCAACTGTTGATTAAATGACTTCAAGGATCATCTCCATGAACATCAAGCTCTGTAAGTATATACAATCTAGTCAAAGGAAGATGCAGAAAAAATGTCTGTATGCTTTAATTTTCTTTATATTCTGCAAAATGAATTCATGGGGATATAGACCATGTTCTTTAACTAGTAGTTCTCACAGTTTAGTGTAAAGAATCACTTGTGAACCTTGTTAAACTACAGACACCCTGACCTGTTCCAGACATAAAACTGCATTTTTAACAAATCTCTAAGAGCAATTCTGATGCAGGTGGTCCATCAGGTACTTTACCTTCTACACTCAGCAGTTTCTTTTCATACTTCATTTAATCAAATAATTGCTAGTAGCACTTCAAGAGCTACATCAAGTTTTAAAGATCTGGTCATGAATACAAACTATCACTAAAAGGGGAGTAGGGGAGCCCGCTAAAGCATGATGTTGGCAGTTAGTACCTAGCATATGCTTGTTGCTTCTGAAACATAGAATTTTAGGCTTAGAACTCTTATGTTAGAAGCAGAATGATGTATGGCATTGACTTACAACTAGGGCAGATAATTTGGGGATTCAAATAACCATCTGGGAAATTTTCTGTTGAAAAGAAGAGAGTTGACATTTATACACTGACTGCCTTGTTCTAAAAAAATTTAAAGCCACAGAACAGCTGTCTTGTTAATGAAAATGGATTAAAATTCAAAACTTTACTGTATTAATTGTTTCTTTACCAACACTTAGAAACACTAAGTGCTTCTTTATCAAAACATTAGGTTTCAGATGTAGGGAGACTAAAGTATTACAAAAACAGTAATTATTTTTTAGAAACAAAATATAAATCAGCTATTTGTGAAATCAATTCAAAAGCACAAGAATTTCTATATCCACATACTAGTTAAAACTAGGCCCTGGCCGGGTGGGTCAGTTGGTTGGAGCCTTGGCCCATACACCAAAAGACTGAGGGTTCAATTCCCAGTCAGGGTGCATAAGGGGAGCAACCGATTGATGTTTATTTCTCTCTCTCTCCACTCCCCCCCCCCCCCCCGTTCCTCTTTAAAAGTAATAAAAACATATCCTCAGGTGAGGATTTTTAAAAAATGTTAAAACTAGTTGCTATCCTTTTTAAAGTTACAGGGACCATGATTTTTTCACAAATCAAAGTTACTGTCAACAAACATAGGGCAACTCAGAAACACTGTGGCAGAGGTAAAAACCCCTTTCTCAGGAATACTTCTTTAAAAGGGGGAGGGAATGAACACAATTATATCAAAGGTTTTCATTATTAATTAGACAAAGAGACTGGGGACTATCTCAGGTGCTCAGCCACCCACTGTCAACATCCTGGTTTTGATGGACCTGGCTCTGCCTAGTGACAGCCCGGCTGGGTCAAACACCTAATTAGCAAATGCCCAGTCCAGAGTTGCAGACCCAATGCAGCACACAATCTACATGAGAGTGGAGGGCACTCCGGTAGGGCTTGTGTGTCACTGTGGGTCTAAGCCAGCTGTGGAATTCACGCCCAAGGAGTCAATTCCTCGTTCGTGAGAAGGAGTCCTGTAAAGTTGAAGTGAGAAGAGGTGTGGACACGGTGACCGCCC